ATGTCTGAGGTAAAAATTAAGGGAGAAAAGTTACGCAAGTTTTATAAACCTGCGGTCTGTCTATACCAGTGTAACAGATGTGACTGTGATGTAGTTGACATTACTCAGCCAGCTTTAGTTTGGGTACTGGGAACAATCCTGCTCTTGAACTGGGTTTTGTAACCTGTGCTGAGTTTTCCAATGCCACAGCTAGACTTCTACAGATACTTTGGCTAGCTAAATTTGGCTTGAGTATATCTACTTCTCACTGCAGTCATTATGATGATTGCAGTGTAAAGACTTAGTTGGTGTTTTGGTATAGCTCTAATTTTTAGTCTGATAATTTAGGTAAGGGTTTGGCTGCTACTGTATTTGAACATATTCAAAGGACACTAAAAGGACTGAAATGGTGGAAACAAAGAATGCATTGTAAAGTATGAATAGCAACACCACTTTAGGGCCTTGATTTAGCAAAGAACTTTCATTTATACCTAAATCAAGAATTAGGAATTAAACATGATTGAAATTAAGTATGTTTTTGATGACTACATATGGTTTTCTGAATTGGCATCTACATGACTTTCAGTAGAGAGGTGTTTGCTGGAAGTTTAGTTAATCTGGTGGATAAACCAATGTTTTGCTTATGTAGAAGGTGGGATGCAGAATCAATACCACAACCTTCAGTGCTGCGGCCTGTCGTGATGACCAATTGAACCATAGCCTGTGAGTATCATGATGCTTATTGTTAGGGAACATACAATCCAGTAGGAATACTTTCATTTTGTGCACTCAGCAATAGCAAAGTAAGCCACTTCCTGAATTAAAAACCTAATCTGCATTTTTCTAGAACCAGTCAAGGACAAATGACTTTCAGGGCCAAGAAATTTACAGGAAATGGGAGTATTGAAGCCTTTCAAGAGATGACTACCATTTCAGGTAGTAGTAATGAAAACTGACTATTATAAAATGAAAAAAAAAATGTGTGTTCCTTTTTCGTTATCAAAGATAACTTTCTAGGTTCAAATTTCTGCAAAGAATAGATATCACATGTACATACAAGCAGTACATTTAGATCACTGTTACCAAGGTAAAGGAGATCTAAGTGCCTGGGTGTCAAGCATTCATAAAGCTTAGGTTGCCTGAAAATGGGGAACCTGATCTAAAGTCAGTTCTCATCCTACATGAACCAATTTTAGGTCAGGTTAACCCTAGTGAGAGTTAATGTTAACCTGACCTAGTGAACCTGACCCCCATGCACCCCCTACGTGTCAGCACTGGAACTGACAATGCCTGTCCTGGACTTGCCAGTACTGCCCCCCCCCCTCCGGCTCACCAGCCTTTCTCCTCCCCCACAGCTTACTTGCCTCCAGCTTCCTGGATCATGGATAAATTAATAGAAATAAAAATATTTAAAAAATAATATCCCATTAATGATCACATAAAGTCATACTTTGTAGACCTGATTTTCTGCCTTTTCTTATCTCTAAGCATTCTAGGAACCCACCTGGTCAGAGAAGTACTAAATGATCAGTAACATATATATCTTACAGGAAAAAAAAATACATCAGAAAACAAGTCTAGGAGAAGTTGAGCCACTTCAACTGATATTCGAGCCTTAATATAATTATCTACAGATATTATTGTCTGGTGACTCTAACAGTGACCAACTGCATGGTTTGGATAGACATAGGCAAGCTTTTGGGTATTATAGTTGCCTTCCTTAGGTCTTTTGCAACATGCATTATAATAAGAAATCATTGCAAATTAATTATCTAATCAGTTGCTGCTAAATTACAAATAATGATGTTGTTTCTTGGTGACACTAGAGCTGGACAATTAAAACTTGATTTTAAGATTCCCTGGTTGAGATGACATAAGCAAATGCAGACAGGACAAACAATAATATCTGTAGATAATTATATTAAGGCTCAAATATCAGGTGAAGTGGCTCAACTTCTCCTAGACTAGTTTTCTGATGTATTTTTTTCCCTGTAAGATGTATATGTTACTGATTGTTTAGTACTTTCTCTGACCAGGTGGGTTCCTAGAATGCTTTGTTCAACTGAATGTGTGCAGTCCTTTCTTGGGAAACTTAAATAAAACATAGAGATAAAAATAACAGAAAGCTGAGAGTTATAAGTTTATGTCCATGGTTGACATTGCTGAGGCAGTGACCCCCATGGAGGTGAGCTACAACAAATATAATTGCTCTTTTTATTAGCTCTGCTATTCTCATTTTGCATTAACAATGCTAGTCCTTCCTTGTTGTCACAAACTGAGGAAACAGCACAAGTTTGAGTCAATTAGGTCTTTTTTAGCACTGTTTCTAAAATAGTTTTGCTTCTTTGACTGGCATTCTCATTTATTTTTTAGACAAAGACATATGGAAAGGAAAGAATTTAATTCATTCTAGAGTAGGAAGGAAACTTCAGGGGTGAGAATTAGCTAATGGGTCACTGAGGTGAGAGATAAACTACTACAGAAAGGATAAAAACAATATAACAATGAAAGAGGTGAAGAAATCAGATTTGAAATAAAACATTGAGTAGGGGATAGGATTTAACATGAGTTTTTAGCCTTTGTGGAGTGTGTAGAAGGTCCTATGTTATTGCTTTCAGGTTACTATAACATCACCAAAAATATTCTTTCTTCAGACCTCTATGTAAGGTAATCATGTCCACACATGTGGTATGTAATAGGGGTGTGCGAAAGAGCACTATTCCGTTTCGCCTTGAGTTTCAGGGTTTCGATGGAACAGCGTTTTGTATTGAATTACATTTCAATTCAAAACAGTTGTTCTGTTTTGCTTCATTGAAACAGTGCTATTTCAACTCTGTTTCAATAGATCGGCCAGGGATGGGAAGTCAGCCCAGCTGGGCTGGCTTCCCATTCCCCGCCCGATTTAGCACTGGGGTTGGGGACTCAGCCTGGCTGGGCTGAATTTTCCCAGCACAATGGTGGCACTGGGGAGGAGTTCTCAGCTCAGCTGGACTGACTTCCCATCCCCAATGCTATGGTCAAAACGTTTCGACTTTCGAAACATTTTGACTAGCCTCATTTTGTTTCGAAGCTGTTTCAAAGCCCATTGTTTCATTTCATTTTTGCTGTTTTGACAACAAAATGAGTCAAAACACTGTTGAAATGAAATGGTCGGAGAAATTTTGCACAGTCCTAGTATATAATGTCATCATGCCCACATATACTGGGATTGTCATTGCCTTGATGGTCCAGGAAATATGCAAGAATTCTTGTGGGTGACTCTAACAGTGACCAACTGCATTCTTTGGATGGACATAGGCAAGCTTTTGGGTATTATAGTTGCCTTCCTTAGGCCTTTTGCAACTTGCAGTCATTGCAACTTCCATACTATGTCAATTACTAAGATTTTAATGTTGATCACTATACAATTGATTGACTAATCCATTTCATTCAGATTCTTCCTAAAACTTAGCTTATGCTGGCTTAATTTGAAGGGACAAAGGAAGGAAGAAAAGTAATGGAATCATTTAAATAAGCATATGTTACCAATTTGCATAACCTGATTTAAACAGCTATGGACTGTTTGAGCATTTCCTGATGTGAGATTTCCATGAATTTCCCCTAGATTTCAGTGATTAATTGATCAGGTGTTAGAAAAAGAAAAGCCAAATTTAATTAGAACCTAATGTTGTTATTTGACATTCATATGAGTTCTATTTGGAAATAATCATATTAAAATTGAATTTCCTGATTTCTACCAGCCACCTATACCTAAATTCTGTGTGACAATGTGGTCTGATATTTCTCTCACATTCCAGAGATTAGTGATTAACTGAGATTCACTTCCTTGATTTCCCATAAAGGGTATAATATTCTTTGAGCCATCTAAAAATATGTCTGGTGCAGTGAAGTAACATTATTTTTTTCATAAATTTTCATCAATAATGTATTTATTGTTTCAAAATGCTATTAAATAAAATCATAACAGTTTTATAATTTTCTTATAGGTAAATACTATATTTATGTGCTTACCACATGCACTTTTTAAACACAGGAGTAGCCAATATTTCTTAAATAAAACAGAATTGAGGGTATAAAAAGAGCAGATACAGTGATTCATAGCTGCCAAGATGGCTTCCACTTCTTTGTAGACCTAAAAACAGAAAGGGTGGAAACCTGTGTTAGCTCTCTCATAGCTGGAGTTCTTTGAGCCAGAGCAAGTGAACTGCTTCATGAAATCTGTAGCATTGTGATGATACTTGTAGCATGGAAACAACACTTTTTTATTTATAGGAACTTATATAAAGAACATTTCTAGTAAAAAGTTACAGTTTTGCTACTGTCCTTGCAAGAGGCTGGGGCCTAGCTTTGTTTCTGTCCTGCCAAACTAGGAAATTCCTGTTGCCTTACCCAGATTGTCTTCTGGGAGGCTACACTTCCTGGATGCTCTACATTTCCAGGAGTACTTATTTTATGTCAGATATGACTCTGGAAAAAAATCTTTTTTCTACATTCTTCCTTCCAAAAAGATGTGTGTTTTAGTTGGGGGATATGTTGATTCAAGAAACTATGGTATATTGTGATGTTTCCAGAAAGACTTCATATAATAATTTAAACACAATACTTGGTTATTAAAAAATGGGCAGCTTACATATAGTTACATACTTATTAATTGCTATTGTCATTTAGCATAATACATTTATGACAGGTTCAGAAGATTCTAAAACTGCTACTGATCTTTGTGTATGGTGGTGTTTGAATATTTTACAGCTGACCATGTTTGATCATGTTTTTCATCAGGTCAGGAGAGTTTCATACCTATGTATTTGGTTTCAGTATCTCTATGGGATTTCTGCTGTATTTATATATTATTTTTCTCTGGGATCTAATATTACAAAGAACAATCTATATTTCTGGACTTCCATACATGATAGTTTTTAGCTCACATTTTAATCTACGAACCATGTGGAAATATCAACTCTGAAATATTGCCTATGAGACATCCATCACTGTATATCATATCATTTTTTTATAAAATGAAGCCAACCCATACAGTTTTGAGAGCAGCAACTAAGTAGTTTATCTTCCCTGACAATACAATAATGGCCTCTTGATATATCAAAAGTACATGTCTGATATTAAGCCTGAATTCCCCTATGTATATTAAAGCTAGGCAAAGTTTTTGCTTTGAACAATTTAATATCCTGTTATATCCCATTTTTGCTCAAGAATGGCCTAAAAATAGATATGTGTGATTTAAAATGATCTATAAAATGTATTTCAGTCTTTGTGTTGTTCAAAAATACTATTTGTTGTAATGATTATTCTGAATATTAACTAGTCATAATCTACTACAAAAATTGATCTTATACCAGTTGGCTTCAGTGGGAGTTGCACTATTACCTTTATTTAATTAAATCCAACCTACTCTAGTTAAATGCATATCAGATATGTGAATAATTCACATAAATACATAGCACAGTTCCAGTTCTAATTTGTTAGATATTGTTAGTATTGGAATAAACATAGTCTATCTGCATACTGGTTAACTGCATAAACCATTAAGTGTACAATGTCTCTCAGCCCCAGAGTCTCCTTTGTAACCTAACTACTGGTTGCCTTTAGAAAGTGATATAATCTCCGAAACAAAGTAACAGATCTTAATGAGGTGCAACAAACTTGCCCAGGCAGTTTATACTTACGGAAGGGAACGTTAGTTTTTGGGAGTTTAGGAAATCACGTACTTCTCAATGAGAAGCCTATTTTCAGTCTGGAGGCTATCTATTTAATGCAGAAGACTGCATGCAAGTTCCATAGTATTACCAACATTTGGAAATAATTCCTAGATTTTTGGAAAACATTTTCATTGCAAATATTTGCAAGACTACATATTCACATAGAGATTAGTGATACATTTCTTTCTGCAACCTAGTGAGGAACACTATTCATGAAAGTATCCACAGAAAGCAAATCATGCAGGTTCTGAGCATCATTTTATTATTAGCAGATGAATTTTTTACTAGAAACCTCCATTTTTTGTACTGGCATAACTTTATTTTCATTAAATCCAAAGTTTGAACTATTTATCAGCCTTAGACATTCAAAAGTATCTGAAAAGACAAATGATAGAGGGAAAATGTGAAAAAAGTTTGTTTGAAATGCTCAGAGTCATTTTTTGTCAAACAAATGCACTATCTTTATATAATAAATTCTGTATTAACATTTTTCTTTCTTCCCCCTGAAATTTCACTCCCTAAGAAAAAGAAATGATTTGCCGTGCTTTGAGCTGTGATTAATTGTTGTCTAGTGTTCTGTGGTGACAAGTGAAATATAGGCATTTTCTTTAAGTTTCATTCAAAAGAGCTTGTTAATAGGAACATCAAGGCTTGGGAAGCATGTGCCGCATGACACTTCATAATGAACATTATTAAACATTAGGTTTAATTAAAGTTTACTGACAAGTTTGGGTTTGTGAAAGTGTAATGCTTTGAAGAGCACAATAAATATTTTTTAAAAAGATGCCACAATGAACATAACAATTTGTTCATTACTTGCAGTTCCAAAGAACATGTGTCTTAATGGAAAGCATGTGCTTTTCTCTCTTATTTTTCAAAATGTCATATTTATGTGCACTATAAATAAGCAATTAGAAAGTCCACACTTTTCTGATGAAATTGAAGAAGGGTGGGTGCAATTTTGTTCTCCCACTCAGCCTCTGACTTTACTCCAAGCCTAGGTGTCAGACATCTATTTAACCGAACAGCAGCAGCCACAAATATTCCTGGAACTCATCATTGCAGCCACAGTTTGGTAACAGCTGTGGGAAGGCCTTGTTGGCACTCTAAAGTGTAGGTGGCAGGATTCCATGCCTTTCCTGGCTCAGAGAGAGTGTCCTGTGCAGAGAAAAGAGAGTTTGGCTCATGTTGTACGGGTGGAGTGGTCCAAGATGTCTAGGTAGCTGAAAGAACTAGGCTTGATTTGGAAATTTCCTGTAAATCAGAATGCTCTGAAGGACCTGTGACAAATATAAAATATATCATTTCAGAAACTTCCAGGAATAAAGACTAATGCTGTATACCACTGGAGACCTAAGAGTCTTCAGTTTCCAATGAGCAGTATTTTTCCCTAGCTTCAGCTGATGCCAGGACACCAGACCATAGTATCAAAGCACTCTGATTAACATATACCATTTATTTCCCCCATTATGATACCAACTTTATCTTAGTAGCTTGTTTCAAGAACTGTAAGAATTATAACCAATGCTATATTGCCACCATCTTATAATAGTATATTTCCTATGACAGAAGACCATACTCTAATTCAAACAGTTTGTAAAAAAAATACTGCTTTTCAATTCATGCTGGAAATAAAAAAATGGGTGGAGAAGGCAGATGAGAACAAACTTTTAGACAAAGTCTGTTGTGTAATTATATTATTTTGAAATATATGTATTTTATTCCTGAATGCCAACTGTGTCATATTTCCATATTTGTGCAAAATGTGAAGTCCTAGAATTACTGAGGGGGGTAGACAGGACCATAAATGTCATCTGTTCCAACATAAGGAGAAGTTAAGGGTTGCAATTTTTGGAAGTCATTTTTCAGAGCCCCTATTTTTGAATCCTGAATTTGAGACATTGTAAAATGGTGTGAATTTTCCAAATGCTCAAATATGTCCTCTAGAGCTGCATGGAAGAAATTCTCAGAATAGAGGTACCTAAACACAGCAGTGAATTTTGAAAAGCTCCATTTATTTATACAATATAAAATCTGAGAGATTGTTTAGAGTTCTATTCTGTTGTCCCAAGCAGATCAGATTTCCATATTCAAGAGCTTTTAAAATGGCCCAATGGAGAATATACTGGAGCTGATTCCCATACCTGCTTTATAACCTTTGAGAGACAAAAAGAGGAGAAACTATCTTTCCCCAGGTTTTTCCCAATGCAATATGCATGGATATATAGGAGCAAGAAGGAAGGAGCATAATATCCTCCATCTATTTCTAGTGAGTAAATGGAACTAACTTGTGATTCATTCTAGCGGCAGACAGAGAATAAAAGTGACTTGATTATTTCCTTGACAACTAAGATCTAATAGGACTAGAAATACTATTCGATGTAGAAGTACTATATTCTGAGTAGCTGTGCCCATCAAATCATTAAGAATAACTCCATCATTGTGATAGCATGGCCTTGAAGATCACCAACAACTAATGCATTTTTACTCCTGTTAATAATTCATAGACTATAGAATAATACATAGAAATATAGGTCTGGAAAGAACCACAGGAGGTCAGCTAGTCAGTCCCATCTGTCCAAGGCAGAATCAGCCCAGGGTAAACCATTGCATTCAAATGTTGTCTAACCTGATCTTAAAAACTTGCAAGGGTAGAGATTCCACAAGCTGAGTAGCCTGTTCCAATGCTTAACCACCATCATAGCCAGACAGTTCTTCCTAATATCCAAGCTAAATTTCCCTTGCTGTAATTTAAAATAACTTCTCCTTGTCCTACCCCTTGCAGCCACAAAGAGTAATCTATCTCCACCCCTCTGGTATCTGAAGACTGTTATCAAGTTTCCCAAGAGGCAATGATTTTTTTTCCAGTGACATCTTTTACCGGACCAACAGCATAATTGGGATGAAGTTAGGCAAGCTTTTGAATGCAAGGCATTCTTCATCAGGTCAAATTTCCTCTCAAGATAATATTGCACATTTCAATTAGTTCTTGTTAAGGGCACTTAAACCTTGAAGGCTCACACAGTCAAAATCATTAATGAATGCTAAGTGTTCTAGCATCTTAGAGTTACATCACTTGAGGTAAGGATCATATTTGAGCTGTGCTAGGCAGCTCAATTTAGTTTAACTTCTAAATGTTGCCCAGGGATAAAATGACCAAGTTGGGGTCATCCAGTATCACAAGAGGCACCACTTCCCAGGTGGACTATCT